TTTAGCTTTCTTTCCGCAGAAAGATCGTCGATTTTGTGACGTATTTTCAAGGGCATCTTTCGTTAGTATCCATCTTCGCACATTTTTTTCGTCAACGTCGAATTTTCTCCCTGCTGCTCGATTTCCATGTTCTTGTGTGTAACGCACCACTTGAAGTTTAAATTTAGACGTATAACCTGCTCTTACTCGACCCATGTTTCACTCAGAACTAACCAGGCAAGTCAAGTAAAGGTGAAAAGGTTATAACTCTCCCCCGCAATGCCTTTGTTCCGAGCGGTACCGTTATTTTCGCTAGTTGCGAACTTAGGAATGTTAAACGTTGCCAAATTTCGGAATAATTTCTACTCCTGAAATAATATTCCAAGAAAATTATTTTTTCTGTAATTTCTGTCTGAAAATTGTGCTGCGGCCTATACACGCATGCGGCCTATACATGCGTAAATACGGTATATGGACTGACCAACTGCCACTTGTCAGTGAAGTTAGTGCCACCTTTTGTGGATAAAGGGTGTTGCGTGGTCAGCACAGCAGAGTTGTACCTACATGTGTTATTAATGTTTGTTGGGTGTGATGTTCTCACAGCAGTGAACATGATGTTGTGACTTCCACTGAACTGCATGGTATCACAACCCAAATGGTCATACTCTACTCTGTGTTGTTACAAAAGAGTTTATGTTCCTTGTTTCTGCAGTGCAATCCTGGTGGATGTTTGATGGAACTCTGTATTCAACTCGCAATTATCATGGTTGGCAAGCAAGCATATGCTACTGTCATGGAAATGGTTATTCCGTAAGTATCAGAATGGTGCTTTGTAGCACCTTGGATGGACTAGGAAAAGACACAAAAAACTTAGAGGGTTTTAGTCATAGCTTTTTAGTGCATGCACAGGTTTAGTCTCTCAGAGAAAACTGGCTCCTGAGCATCTACGTACTTCACATTCTTACGTTCCTTTCCTTTATCCCTTTTGTGCCTTTATCTTCTTCCCTCATTTCACTTGTATTCCATTCTTATCCCTTTTAGTTGTCTAAACTATTCTAATTCATTTCCCTCTTCCTTCTTTGTATGTGTTATTTATTTTGTTACAGTATTTTCCCCAAGATCTGCATTTTCCATATGGCGTATCTGTGGAAATTTTGTATTGCAGGCTATTGCAGAAGTGGTGGAATAATTTCAAGGTTAAAGAAGAAGACAAAGAGAGTAGGCAGATTATAAACCAGTGGACTGAGGATTACAAATTAGTAGACTGGGGTCCTCGAGGATTATGTCCTGAGTATCTAGAAATGGGTGAGTTTTCCATTTCATTTTTATTTTATGTACATGTTTTCATTTGCAGTTTTAATGATAAATTTGTAAGGTTTTAAAAGCCATTTTCTTGTTTTTAATGTCATTTTTAGCACCAATGTTATCATTGGTGCCACAGTACAAAGGACTTAGTCCCACCTCACTAGCATTAAAAAAATGATGTTGATTATAATAATAATCTTTATTTAAGGGCAATTTTAAAAAAATAAAGTGCCTTTTAACTGATCAATATTGATATCCATGTTAATACTGTTACTACTATTAAATCACATGCTTTGAGGTAATTCATGAAAAATACGTGAAATAATCAATTTCTTTGAAGTTACCTTGTTTGTAAATAAACTACTGTCATCAATTTTTCTGCAATTCAAGCCCCTCTGTCATTTTCAGATTGAATTTCAGAGTTTCTGCAGTTATATGGTCTGTTCAAAAAGTTTTGGAACCATTTTCTATAATTTTTTCAGACATTCCTGCAACTGAGTGAACCTTATCACCTTCAAAGTACTCTCCCCCCCCCCTGCATTGATGTACTGCTCCACCAACAGCCATTGCCACCTCTGGAAACAGTCCTGGTGTGCCTTTTTCGGGATCTTGCATAGCTCCATCAGCAAATTGTCCATAATCTCTTGAATTGTCTAATCGTCCTTTCGAAGTGGATTTTAGTTTAGGAAATAAAAAAAATCTGCCAGAGCCAGGTCAAGTGAGTAAGGTGGCTGATGAAACACAGTTATGTTCACGTTGGCCAAAATGTCATGAATCAGTAGCGATGCATAAGCTGACACACTGTCATGATGGAGGAACCAGGAATTGTTTCTCCACAACTGAGGTTTTCCCCTGACATTTTCTCTTAAGACATTTCAGCACTTCGAGTTAATACCAGCGATACACTGTTTTTCCCCCTGACATAAGAATTCATGATGCACAACACCCTCAGAGTGAAAAAGAAACTGTCAACATGACTTTCGCCTTCACCTGACCCACCACACCTTTCTCAGTCTCGGCGAATTTTTTCCAACCCATTGGGAAGACTGCATTTTAGTTTCCACATCATATCCATAAACCAATGTTACCAGTTATAATTCTTTTCAGAAAGTTATCATCCTCACTAGCACAATCCAGAAGTTTCTGACAGATGGCAACATGACTGTCTCTCTGATCCTGTGTCAAAAGTTGTGGGACAAACTTTGAAACTACCCAGTGCATTTCTAATTATGTCATAAGAATGTCATGACATGATGCTATCGATATTTTGCACTCTTCTGCTATTTCCTGCACTGTCAAACAACTATTCAACTGCACGATTTCAAAAACTTGTGCAACATGAGCTTCATCACATGATATTGAGGGCTGTCTCAAATGCTGTCATCATGTGTTGACTGCTGACGACCCTTAAATCACTTAAACCATTCATAACAATGTGTACGGCTCATGCACTGATCTCCTTAAGCGTTTTTAGTCATTTCATGAATCTGTGTAACATTTCACCTAGTTTGAAGCAAAATTTAACATTAATACACTGCTCATGAACATAAGCCATCTTGAATATCGCAAGACACACTCTACACACATGTGAACAAATTGCTCTAAAGTGATGACTAATCACAGCAGGATGACGTGACAGAAAGGATGATAATTAAGGAGCACACCAGTAGGCAGCACAACTTACCTGACATTGCTAAGACATGAAGTTGGCATGCTACTTCAAAACTTCTGAAACTTCTTGAACAGAGCACCTACATCTTTGTAGATACTGAGAACCACCTGAACATTGAATTGCCATGGTTCAGCCAGAGAAATTGGCAGGGTGTGACTTGTTTTTTTGTGACACTATTGCATTATACATTTCGTTTGGTTCAACTTTTATGTTATCAAACTCTTGCACACGTTTTGTTGAGGGTTCTGGGTTGCCATTCACTTGAGGTGGATTCCCTCTAATGTTTAAATGTTGCATAACTTTACAAACACTTATTACACTGCTTGACACTTTTTCCAAGATGTTGTACAAAATGTGAACATACAACAAAATTGAATGAAAAGCGACAGAAAATACAAGAGTAGCTCCTCATTCAACAATTGATGTAGCCCAACCGACTCTGTGATTGAAATGTCATCCCAACCATTTCCATTCTCAGTAATATTGAAGCATTCAAGCAGAGAATCCTTGCTAATATACATCCAGTTCAGAGTTATGCTTTGAAAGTTCTATGGCATTTCTGTGGACTTTGGGACAGTGCAGCTACAGGCAGTTCCTAACAGAGCAGAATACTTAGATGAAGCAGAAAGAAAGGACAAAAATCCTGATATAATGGCAGAAAACAGTTTTACTGACTTCACTTTGGAAAATGCTTGCTTCATTACTGAATTCAGTTGATGAGCATAACAGTAAATGAAATGTGCACGAGGAAAGGTATTGCCACATGTTCGGAGGTATGTGTGGTGAAACTAATGGGTTCTGGATTGGATGATTGAATTTTTTGGCACTTCAGTTACAGTCTCTCTTAATTACAATTAATATTGCACTATCACTGATTTACAGAATTTACAGTTCACCGTTGCACACGCACTAGCATTCTCTGTTTTCACTGGTCTTCTCCTAGCAACGGAACTCAACACAGCAACTATCCCTTAAAATCACTGTGAAGTCTTCTTGTCTTGAATCACTTTGTCCTCCTCTGCCCTAATCTGCACTCGACTAATCTTCACAATTCACTAAGGACATGCTCCATTCTCGTCCTTGTACTCTCAACTGCTCCTAGCTTCTGAATTCACTTCTCTTACAAGCACTCTGCACAGACCCCAAAGAAAACACTGTATTGTTGATGATGTCGCCGCGTTGCATAGCATGGTCTGATACAAAGAAATGTGTTTACTGACCCATTGCGTAGAAACAGATTGCGTAACACTGGTGGTGTATTGTTACATGTGTATATTACTTAGCAGCAGCTGTTTCTGTGGCTCAACAGTTCTTGCATGCAGTAAATACCTGTATGCCACAGTATCTTTGATCTTATTTTCAAACCCATTATCCCCTCTGAGACAGCAGTGCCATCATAGGACTGAGCATTTGAATTGTTCTTGTATCCTGAATGTGTTTATTATATCTAATTTTAAAGTTTCATTTCTGTATTTCTTGGGGAATTTTTGATATGGTAGCTGGTATGTGTTGCCATTGCTGAAAAGGTCCAGAGATATTAGTTTTTCTTTAAGCTGTTTCTTATGGTACTGGCAGTTCAGAAAGCTGTTATTAGAGTCATTACTCTAAATAATGTGGGAAGTGGTTGTGCTTCCTTTGTCAAAATATGAGAAAATGTCATTATGGCATAGTGTGTAATTAATGAAGTACAGGGAAAACTTTACCTTTATTAGGTCTTTGGGGTGTTGATTGTTCTTCAGGATATATTTTATAGGAATGAGCCGTTCAGCTTTCCCTGTTGTAGAGGTGAGGTATTTGTTCATTCTGTTTATTAGATAGTTAATGCCTGAAATTTTATTTTCAAAGAGGTGGCAGGAGTCAATAAGGATAAATATGTCTGTAGAGGTTTCATTGTGATAAATTTTCAAGTGTCATTATCATGATTGGTTTATGATAGTGATGTCTAAAAAGTTTATCATTTTCTATAGTGAATCTTAGTTCTGGGTTAGGTTGGTAAAACCGTGTAATACAGTGTTTGTTTGGGTGGTCTGTGAGCCAACTTCCAAAAACATCGAAGAATATGGGTCTACCCATTCCTGATTTTAAAATCTGAAGGATATTTAGTATAAAGTTGGATCCGATCCAATTTTAACTCAGCAGAATTTTATACTGACATCATAGTTTGTATGTATTCCATCACCATTGGTATGTTCCTCAAGAATCACCATTTTTAGTTGTAAGCACCACAAGCAGGATGCAACAGTACAAGATGCATTGTGGTGATAAAGGAGTATAATTTTTAAGTTACCTGTTGCCTTCTATGAAGACATTGCTTGATAATGAGAACTGAATCAGTCATTCAGTTTCTAAAGACTTCTTCCTTAATTAATAAGATGTAATTATTTCGCTTAATTCAGTTTTGCAGTATGGGTTTGTTACCCTCTTCGTGGCACCCTTCCCTTTGGCTCCATTCTTTGCATTGTTGAACAATATTTTGGAGATGAGGCTTGATGCAAAGAAGTGCCTGCGGTATTATCGTCGGCCTGTTCCTAAACGAGTAAAAAATATTGGTGTTTGGTTCCACATTCTGGACATCCTTGGAACTCTCTCTGTTGTTACAAATGTGAGTATCAACATTTTGTTACTCTCACCTGACATTGTCATGATGTTATCAGTTATATAATACCACAGCTTCCAGACTCATAGTAAATTAAATCTGAAGTGAAAGGTGTGCTCCAATTGTATTGGTCTTGATGTTCGCTTGTTGCAAATACAAGTCTGTTATTCATTGAGCTATCAACCGTATACCTGCTGCACTTTGGATGATTATAAATTATTTCTTACTGAAAACCGTCACAACACAACATTCAATAATAGATGTAAGTAAGTCTAGGAGATAACTTCTGCTACATGTTTCGGCCTTCAAAAGGCCATTATCAGGCAAATAAATTAAACTTTTCGTTATTGAATTGTATGTCAAATATAGGATAAAGTACTAAACTTCCAAGTGTATACAGTGGTATAAAATGATATGAGTGAATATAAAATATAAATTACAATAAAAGTTGAAGTCTTAAAATAACCAGTTACATAGTCAAAAGTACAGTTATAAGTTGTGTATGTGATAGTATTTGGAAGTTGGCAGTTGTAATCGTAATATATGTAATGCTTATACGGACATGTTATATACACAATGGCTGATGTGTTCAGAGGCCTGTTGTTATGTTGTATGTTATTATTTAATATTTGATACCTGGAAATAATATACCATTGGTAACTATTATTAAATTACTTAGTGATTTTATATGGTATTGATTAAATTATTATGGTTATGTAATTTATTTACTATGTGACAAGTGTATGTGCATGCGTGTGTACACACACGTATGGTCCTTATATTTTTGTTTCAGGCATTTATCATTGCATTCTCATCCAACTTTATCCCACGGATGATGTACATGCACATTGTAAATCCAGATCACACGGATGTTGGGTTCCTCAATCATTCTCTGGCCTACTTTGATACAAGACATTTCAGCCATTCACACAACAATGTATCTCATGTTGACATATGCAGGTAATAAGGTCAAAAAATTCTATACCAATAGTATAATGTCTGAAACATAACTCTACTCTACAAGTGATACAGAATTTGAATGTTTCAAGTTAGAGAAAGATAGATGTTTGCAATAGTTTCTGTCCTGTATTTGTATGATCCCTCCCACCATATTTGGGCCATATTAATTTTGCCAGACTGTAAAAGAAGTTATTTTATTTTATAGAAATATTCTGCCAGATAATTTATTTGATACGTATGGGAATCTGGTGGTCTAGCTGTAAGGTCTTCTGTGCAGATGTTTCTGATTCAGTACCAGTTGGATATAGTGCAGATGCTTGTGCATTCTTTCCCTTTTCTTCACCTCTACCAGAGTTAAAACTCTTGTCTGCAGACTGCATTATGGTTTAAACCTTATGTTAAGGTATAGATCTCCCATGATAGCCATCATTGCTGTGACTGTCAGGTTTAAAAATGTGGATTTATATCTTAACCTAGCTAAATGGTCTGAGGCCAGAATGAACTAAACCTTACCAGGAGTTATAGGCCACATATATGTAGAATATACAGATTTTGTAACATGAATTAGTCTAAATCCCTTATGAAATTTTGAAAAATTGTTGAGCATGAAATCTACAGAGAAAAGACTTACTGTTTTTGTATAACATTTTTTGCCTGTAAAAACAAATTTTGTCAAAAATACCTAATGCCAGTAAAGTTGTTTCTAATCCACTTCTATACCAGGTATACACATATCTTGTTGTGTATGTGTTACTAAGATACTAAACTTATTGCAATAGCTGCAACTCTGAGATACCTGTCTGTGCCATTTATTGCTGCTTTCTTTGGGTCTGATCTGTAATTACTTATGGAAATACATGATGACAGAAGAGAAAAACAGATGCTTTTGTATTGTGACACATTACTAAGCAGTGGCTCCATAAACACATTCCAATACGCAACAATGGGAGCTGTGTTCTCAGTGGGCGAATGTTACAGCTTGTTGCTAGTCAGCAGTCAGCACACCAATGAACTGGCTGGATGGCGATCACATGGTAACCACAACAGAGGTGTGACGCAACAGTAGAGGAAGCCGTGTTTTTTGTGGTGGTTCGCGCCAAAGGTTTATAACACATGGAAAATCGCTTGGTGCAGTTGAGTTCCAAAGTTCCAAGGGAGCAGTAGTGTGTCAAGAAGTTGTAGAAGGAATTAGACTGTGTGTGACTTTACATGTGCTGTATCACAGTGATATTGGCAGTGTATAATTTAGTGAGACTTTTGTAGTTCCTGTGTTATAAATCCGTTGCCAGGGAACTGAGAGTGAAGACTAATGGACATAGACTGACAAGATTGGTGTGATGTGATTGTAGAATGTGTAAATCAGCAGCAGTATTGTAATTATTTATAGTTACAACCTGTAGGTGGTTAATAAATCTAGTTACCAATCCCGAACCCTGTTCATAGTCACTTAACATGTGAAAACTGGTATCAGAAGTGGGATTGGATCTGATTGAAGCAATTGTTGAGCAGAAGATTTATTTTACAGTGCCATTCAAAAAAAGTTGGAAAACATGGAATTACTGAAGGCCATGCTGGCAAAAATTTAAAACCAACATGAAATCCATGCAAGAAGAAATGAAAACCAACCAGAAGGAACTAAAGAAAGATATAAAAACCAACCAAGTAAAATCAGAAGCCTTCTGAGAAGAAATGGAAGACATGCACAAAAAGATGATGGCCAAGCTAGATGACCATCATGAAAGGGCAATGGCCTACCAAGACACCATGGAGGCATGCCTGGAATTCAAGGAACCAACTTCAGTGGGCGTGGAATATGATGCAGAGCAGTGGGAGGTCCTCAAGGAAGAAACCACGGTGAAATCTTCTGGAGCAATGAAGAAGCGGCATAGGGACTGGCATCTAGCTTCAGGGCACTGTGGAAAGCTAAAGGAACTGACCAAGGAAATTGTGGATCCAGAGGAAGTTGCCTGCCGCCTGCAGGAAGATGACCCGCTCTACAGCGGTGGTATGGCACTGGGGACACAGTCACAAGGGTTACGACCAGGTCCGTGTGTTACAAGAAACTCAGAGAGGACAGACATTGGAAGGGCCCAGAATGCAACAGTGGCATAAGGGACCAAGGCCTTAGAAAGCAGCTACCAGGCAGCAAGCGAATAAAGAACCTAGTTGACAGATGGCCGCTATGTCTGAGGAAAAAGTGAACAACCACTGATGGCAGAGGGCAGAGCTCAGGACAGCGATCACCTCAGGGAAGCATAGGGACTCTAAAGAAGATCCCTCTGTGAGATTCTCAGCATGAAGATCACGAAGCAAAAAGCCGGATCTTGTGTCGAATCACGAAAAATCAGGACTGAACATTGTGGAGGGGTTGGCCCCCTCTGAGGCAGAAAAGGAGTCTGCACACAGAGTAAGAACTGGAGATGTGGGAGCACTGGCCTCTCCAGGAGTTGTTGGCTACTTGGGAAAGAGAAAAACGAAGAAAACCTTTGGATGTTGGTGAGAACCTGAATTAACTGGAACCTCCTCATAAGGGAAGCGCTCGGGACAAGCTGGCCTTGAGGAGGGAGAAGTGGTGGTAGTTGGAGAGCATCCACCGCAAGAAAAACTGAACAACTTGCGGGAAGGTGAGATGTTACAAGCCGAGACCTCAAAGAAGAAGGAACGGTGACACAGTGATAGGCTATTTGGGATGAACAGCCTTAAGGAGGGATCACTGTAACACATTGCTAGGCATTGCCTCCATAAACACGTTCCAACTTGCAACAATATGATCTGTGTTCTCAGTGGCCAAATGTTACAGCTCGTTGCTAGGTAGTAGGCAGCATGCCAATGAACTGGCTGGAAGGCAATCACATGGTAGCCCCAACAGAGGTATGACGCTACAATAAAGGAAGTCTTGTTTTGGTGGTCCAAGCTGAAGGTTTATAACACACCGAAAATCGCTTGGGGCAGTTCAGTTCTGAAAGTCCAAGGGAGCAGTAGTGTGGCCAAAAGCCGTAGAAGGAATTAGTCTCTGTGTGTATGACTTTACGTGTCCTCTAGTACCCACTGATCAGGCAGAACAGAATTAGTGAGTTATGGATCTCAGATCTTTTTCACCGCCTGCTTGAATCACTTCTTCTGGAATTTGATTAGTTCTTGGTGACTTATACTTAACTTTGCAATAGTCATTTCAGCCTCAGAAGGACTTGGCTCAGATGTATGTATTTCTGTCTGCCTAACTTCACCAACCACATGTATGTTCAGTAGATGAGAGAAACATTCAGTGTGTTGTGGGAATCTGCAAGATGACTATTTTTATCCTTTACCAAGTTGTAATATTCTTGTTCTTACTGTGTGTTACACAATTGTCGATTTTGTCTTTCAGATATCCTCTGTTTTTGTTTGTGAAATGTGTGGTAAATCCACATCTTATATTGTTCAGATTATTTCCATTTATTTAGCTTTGATCCTGTAACCATTGTTGTTTCTCTTGTTTTCTTTGATCTGATGGTGTTGTTGATTAAACATCTTTTGCTGAACCGTGGCTTATGCTGCTTCATTTCTTAATAATCTAGGCCGTCGTGGGCAAAAATTTTATACTCCCTGTAATAGTTTTTCAGGCTGAAATTTTGATACTCTCTGTAATAATTTTCAAATTCTATTAACATCCACATGATCACCTAAGATTTCCAAAGCTGCAGTCCTATTTGAGATTTCAGCCTGATACTCTTCCTTACCCTCTGCCTTGTTTAGTTTCTTGAGATTGAATTTCTCCATATCAAATTTTTGTGTTGTTTGTTTACTTACTGCAAGGATATAAGTTCACCAGATAGTTGTCAGTGTCAAAGTCTACACCCCTGAAAGACTGGACTTTAAGTATACTTGATTGCCATCTCTTGTCTGTCAAAATTTGATCAATATGATTGTGTCTTTCCATCAGGAGATGTCCAAGAAATTCATATGGCAAATATTTTCTGAGTCTTTGTCATGTGACCAGCTTTGCAAGAACAAATGGGTTTTTGCAATAAATGTTCAAAGACCAGGGAGGTATGAAAAACTGCAAAGCTTCTGTTTGTAAACGTTGATACTCTCTTTACATACATGTGTCCATTCTTATCATGTGTATGTTTATCATTGTCTGCCTTCTTTCTTCCCCAAATCATTTGGTTTGATTGTAAAACAAGAGCATTTCATCCTTGTACAACCTTTTTTTTTATTGCTAGTAGGGTGGGACTACTCGTAAGTCCCTTGTACTGCGGCCACTTCTGGTGGAATGAAGATTGGCAGGGAAACCGAAGTACTTGGAGAAAACCTGCCCCAACGCCACTTTGTCCACCACAAATCCCACTTGACCAGACCCGGGATTGAACCCGGACTGCCGCAGTGGGAAGCCAGTGACTAACCGCTTGAGCTATGGCGTGACCACCTTACTCCAGTTGTTATTGAAGGTACATTTTGTTGTGTTTTATAGATACCCAGAGTACAGAAATCCGCCATGGGACGAACATCCATACAAGCGTCCTCTTATATACTGGCGTATCCTAGCAGTACGACTGATATTTGTCGTCGTGTTCCAGGTAACTTCATTAATCTAACAAACCCACATATTAAGTTAGATTTTATGAAGTTCACGTTTATGAATAATTATAAAATTTTCTTTCCATTGATTAAAATTGAATCACTTTGTGCATTGTCCATTGGTGATGTAATGAATCATTTATTGAAGTTGGTATTGAATTTTGAGAATGGAGAGTTGCAACTGTAACATACCAGTTTGTGAGTTATGAGGACTGACATAGCATACTATTTTTTCTCTCTCTCTCTCTTGCTGCTGTTCTGAAGCTGTTTTGTTTAAAACAGGATGATGGATAATGTCCAAAATAATCAGTAATTGCATTAATATACCATCATCACAGATGTTAGGTTCTTGATGTTTGACATGTCCAGTTGTAATTCTCTACAGCTATGGATGAAATAAATAAATAAATAAATAATAATAATAATAATGTTTAGATCTTATCGTATTAGAGTACAAGTAGTTAATTTTGTTTTTACCCTCTCCCTTGCTACAGTTTTCATCATGGAAGTGATATAATATATTTTGTTAACATATTTTCATGGTAATGGGCCGATCTCCTCAGCTGATTCTGTGATCTGTGTTTCCCTCGTGTTGTCACTATGTGCCACAAGTTAGTTCCATCCTTTTACCATTACTGTCCCTATTTCCTACTGCATATCGCATGACCCCATCCAGTCAGACTTCCTTGATTCCTTCTCATTTTGGAGAGCACCATGTTGCAACACTAGCTCAAGCTGTCTTGCTGGAGAACCTCTATCAAGTGGATACGCATTGTTTCTCTCTCAAAATTATTTTTCATTATAATGTGTTACCTTAGTTGAATTATGTTTTATGTTTGACTAAAACTGCAGCAGAGAGAGCCTCTGCCTCCATATGTGAGTGTGTTCATGCGATCACGCACGTATGTGTGTGTGTCAGAGAGAGAGATTAATTGATTAATTCCAATATGATGTGTTTTATGTTGGCAAGATAAATCTCTTGTTTGTTATATTCTGTGAGCCTGTCATTGTGATTTGCTTGCCCTATTCCTTGTGGCTGTTGCATTTGAGGCATGAGTTGTGTTTGGATTCATGTATTTGATTTCTTTAGCTGTTGCAAGCCTCGCATTTTGTATTTCTGCCAAAATTTGTCATTCTGCATAACAATGTGCAGGTAACCTATCCATGTCCAGATTATACTGAAATGTCTAAGTCTATAGAATAGCGTGAGTTTTATGTTATTTTTTAATGTTTCATGCTCTTTTCCCATCAGTAACTGGTTATATTTTCATATATATTCAAGTTATATTGTATTTATGTTAAATTGACTCATGCCTGCCGTTTATACTGTTGCAATTCTACCCTCGTTAATGTCGGTCTGTCTTGTCCTGCCCTTCTTGGACCCTATGGTATATTCTATTAGTCTTTTCCTTTCATGCCTTCCAGTGCAAAATATGATTATTTGTATTATTGTTATCATGCTTGTTAGTCTTGCTATCGCTATCCAGCTCAGGATGTATGTACAGTACAACAGTGAGAAAGTGACATCTTGAGTCCTCCCAACTCTGCCTGTTGAGGACAGGTCAGTAACAGATTCATGTCCAGTTATTGCACATTGTCAGCTTAGGGTTCAAGAGGATGTGCTTCTCCTCTATAATAGTGGGACATAGACAGAAGGTATATTTAGTGCCAAATAATGTGTCCTTTTTATAGTATGGCATGGACATTGTTTATCAAACGAATCTCAGTTATTACCTAATTCTGTATGGATTATCTCTAGGGTGCAGAAATTATAAAAGAAGTATACAAATATGTGTATATTTAGTCTAATAGTTGTGTGTACCTGTTTTCACATGTGTCATTTCATATGACTGCATGATTCAGCACTTCTGTACCTATTAGTCATTAGGATTCATTTTGTTTTGTTATAATTGGGATGTTATTGGTGCAGTATTCTGTCAATTTTTATAAATAATTGTGCTAAATTGTTAGAACAATCAGTATTTAATATTTTAATGAAAGAAAAAATACTACTAAAATTTATATAATATTACAGCAAGTTTATAGAGATGAACAATGAATAGAAGACAGTGTTTTAGGTGTGTTAACCAATTTAAAAATGGAATATATGTTAAAGCAAAAGATCTAGCTGTTCAACAATTGCAAGAACTGACTGAAATGTGGAAAAAATGATGGAAATAATGAGAAAGTATCATCAGAATTTTTCAGAAGATACAAGATTTAAGATGAATAGAGAAATTATGAGATTGATTTTGACTAAAAGATCTAACATGAAGAATGTCTCTGCAGAAATGGTAATCAGAATGTCAGTAGTAGGCAGATGTGATATGGCAAGAAATTTGCTCAGAACTTCAAGTAAAATTGGCAGAAGAAAAAATAGTGACTGATGATGTGCTTGAATCTTCCTGTTAGACTCAGGAACGCCATGTCAAAGTCCAAAATAACTCCAATTTCAAAATCATATTGATATGGGTTTCTTTTATGGCAGTAATTGTCTGTTATGAATTTGTTCTTCCAAAGCAGACAGCCAAGCATTCTGCTCTCAAGTTCAGGGCTGCTTATGGCGGCACATTCATTGAAGAAAAGCAACTTTTTGCTGCATCATGACACTGCCTTCCGGTTCAGTACTTTCGGTAGAGCAAATACCAGTATTTGAACATCCACCTGAACCTGATTTGGCCCCCTGTGAGTTTATCATGTTTCAAAAACAATGGAGAGTCTCATTTTGAATAACTTGAAGATACTTAACAGCAATATACTTGTAACTGAAATGACTTTCTGTAATGATTTCCAACATCACTTAACAAGGGAGACACAGAAGTCAGAAAACGTACATAAATTCAGAAGGCAAGTGCTTGGAAGTGACCATACTCACTAATATTTAACCTTTTGACGTGGTCATTTAAATTCCGCGGCCGCGGCTCCTGCGGTAATATATTCAGCCGGCCATTTAAATTTTGCTCGAAAATTATTTATTCATCATTGTTCTTAAAATCTATGAGATAGGAACATGAAACTTTCACTAAAATGATCTTAAAAGGTGGTTTTATAACCTTACCTTATAATATGAACCCCCTTTATATCTTCAATGGAAGCATGTTATTTAGTATTTGAGCAGAGAATGGTACGCCTTGAAGGATGAAACTTTCACTAAAATGATCTTAAAAGTTGGTTTTATAACCTTGCCTTATAATATGAGCACCCGGTATCTCGGCTATGTAAGCAGGTGACGCCTTGAAGCATTAGTCTAAACACAGAGCTGGCTCTCGAAACGACCACCAAGGTCAGTACGATAAAATGGCGTCAACTGGAGCGATAATGAGTACTTTTCCCTCCCCCACACACATCCGTATCGTCTCAGGGGGTGACCACAGTGTTCTGCCTTAAATTGTGGCGTATTTCTAAGAAATGGGTGCTATGTACTGTGCGAAAGCAATCGATTTTACGAGAATAACATTTTGGACAACCCTCTTCTAAGAATTCCAATGGAATGTGTTTGTGTGGCCAGCTCAGGGCAATATGATATTATATACAACAGCACACATCACCTCTCTGGTGTTTATTACTTCACAAGCAAAGCAAATACGCCATTGAGTGACGAAACCGCTACAAGAAGCAACACGAATTTGCTGCAAGACAGGCATATGTAACGACGACTTATCTCAGCTAAACTCGTTGGCTTAGTATACTCTGTTCTTGTGACAACAGGCCAGCGAAAAATCTAACAATCTACAGCAAAACCATCAATTATTATGGGCGTTATAACATAGGTGTGCAGCTGGACGAACCATACACGACGAACCCCCCCAGACGATTTAAATCCCTGACGAAACAGACACGACGAACCACGGCAACGGGTTAATAACAATATTTCTCCCCATCAGTCTCCCTGTTTAATTGGTAGAGTCCATACATTTACGTAGAGAAAATTACTGTTGTGAGTAAGGTTGGTTTAGGTGAGGTTGGAGCATATGTGCACACTGCTGTTTTGAGAAACACCAAGGCTCCTCTCTCCCTTCGTGGTTATTCTGGAAACTGCTGAAGACCAAGATTGGCTGAGAGTGCACAAGAAGTTTCCAGAATGACTTTGCCTCTACAAATGTGTTATGGAGTTCTAGAGACAATCTAGGTGAAGCTACTGAGCTCACTGGACCTGTGCAGTTAATATCATGATGGACCAGAGTGAAAGACAGTGTGTACTGTGAGACAAGTTATTTCGGTCCTGGCAATACAAAATGTAGGTTAAGTGCAAGAAGACAGTGCGGTAGCATAAAGTGAAATAGTGGTGGACTAGAAAAGTCAGTTTCAAAATTATAGGTGGCTACTGGCAGTATGAAAGTAACTGTTCTGAACCAAAATAAATGTAATGCAATTTTCGCATTTGTTGATACAAGCGACATTCAGTAAATTCTTCTGAATTGGAAGCCCTTTCTTCCTTCACTGATAATGTAGTGTATTCTATCAAATTTGTAATTAACTGTAGTTCTTAGCTTATATTTCCCTTCCACAATGAATATGGATACATATAAATCTTCAGCCATAGGAATAATTTCTTCTCTTGGCCTCAATATAATTCTCCCTACAAATAATTATCAGTTACAGTTCTCATTCTCATCTCATATGACAAGTCCCTCAGTGATGATGCATTCTGAATTAAGAGTCTTTTCTTCCTCAAGTTTTGCACCATATTGCATCACAGTAAACCAGGCAGGTTCCTGAAGTGATAATGCTCTAGCCTTATATTTGGTGAATCGAAAAACTCTTTGAGAAATTCATCCAGCACTGTAAGGAATCATGGATCAACCATAGACAAGGTTAATCTCTTCAGGCAAATGCTGGGCTACAAAATTTACTCACATATGTACACTGACTTTTAGACACATTTCAGAATGAATTTAAATACCACATATTTACCCTTGATAGAATTTGTGAAAAACGTCATATACAGTAGTTAAATGCATTATGGTAATGTTTACCATATTGTGGGGTATGCCCCCCTGAGGAGACAGAGGACAATATACTGTGTTATCCAGATGTCTCAGTACTTGTAAGTATGATTAATAGCCTGACTTTGTGGAGCATATTGATGTTGTGCAATATATGAGGGTCAAATCTTGGTATGGTGACAAGATTCTTCAAGCCCCCCCCCCAGTCACTCTAAAAAAATACTGAGTTTAGTTTCTGATTTGTTTTATGTATGATGCTACATAAACCATGCAATAGACAAATGTTGCTGAATAAAATGTTATGAACATGGTGTTTAGGTGTGACTAGGTTATTTGTATGGTGTTACAGAATGTGGTTAGCCTAGTAAAGAACATTGTCAGGTGGCTTATTCCTGATATACCTCGCAAACTTCATGATGAAATGCTCAAAGAGGCATACCTCACAAATGAAATCATCATTGAGCAAGAGAGGAAACGAGCACAAGCCATGAATCCAGGTCGAATTGGCTCAAGGGATTTTCTTACAGGAGAAAGGAATGCTGTGGCGAATGATGATAGAAGACGTAAAAGAAGAAAGAAAAATAATCCAGGAAAAATTGGCTCTCCAGATTTCCACGTTGTATGCACCCTTCCTTGAGGAGGTCAGTCAAATGTGGAGCTGGATTATACTTGCACATGATACTATAATTAGTTAATAGTAGTAAGGGTATCTTAGAAATTTCAATTGAAGAGAGAGAAAAAAGGAGTGCATGCTTGTGTTGGGAGATAACATGTGCCTAGGTTTGTGCATTACAGGTATCTGAAAGCATGTTATTTCATTCTCACACTAGTAGTTTTCATACTTATCTAGATGGCAGCTGTATATGTGAAACTGTACCAACTTCATTTACTGTTTTAATGAAGAATAGAGGGACCAAGATAACACTAGAAGAGGAAAAAAGAGGAGCTAAAGGATAAAGATGTGGTTTGATGTTGAGTTTTTGCTATTACACCGTTCCTTTATTTTCACGAATTTGTAACTATTAAATATTTACATTATCTGCAGACTGCTACATAATGGTACAATTGATGTTCTAAGTCAAGGAGGGTTCCAAGTTTAGATTATGTGGTTTTCCTCAGAACCTCCAGGAAAATGCCATGATGTTACTTCAATTAGGCCATGGCCCCCTTCCTTCCATTTTATCAGTTTTCCCATCATCCAACACCATATAGTCATGATACTGAAAGTGTCATTAAGTAACCTACAAAAAAAGTTTGTTCTGTGAGCAGAGTTTGTGTTGAACACACTCAAAAGAAACTCTTATCACTCATCAAGTATTGGTCATATACCATAATTAGCAGNTCAGAAATAAATTAACTTCTTGGAGTACAACATGAAACAGACATCTGTTTCTGCAGTAAACTCTAGTTAACAGCACTGATGGTCTTTTCTTTTCTTTTCCAATTTCTCCTTTTCTTTTCATTTTTCCAATTTTTTCCTACTAATTTTTGACAGTGAGGTTGTGCCATAGCTTAGGAGATTAGTTGCCAGCTTCTAATTGTGGCAGCTTGGTTCAGGCCCAAGTCAGTTAATGCGGTATTTGTGATCGACAAATTGGCATTGAGGTAGGCTTTATTATTCATCAGATGATCCATTTCTCTTTTGTGTCATCTTGGGCTAGTACAATGGACCAGTTGTGGCCTAAGTACCAAGGGACTTGGCCTCACCTCACCCCCAAGGAAAAAATCAACAGTTTTATGTATCATATATCAAATTTCTTGGCTATGTTTGGTACATTTGATAGTCATCAAAGTGTTTGCCACTTCTTCACTAGAAAACAACTAGACTTTCTATTAGAAGTGTTTAACACTTTAGAAGAAGAGACTTACATTCTTAGACAACTTTGTGAATTCAGCTTTTGCAGGGAAGATTAAAAGAATCAAATCTCATGTTGCACCAGGTGGATTCCAATAAGTTTCAATTTTATTTATTATAAAATGATTGGAGAATTATAAATGAAATGGCTGGAATTTTAGTTTGCCTTCAGTGTGTGAAATTCCTTAAAACATGGAATACCACAGGGTTGATGTTTAGCTGAGTCTTCTTGCTTACCCATAACATTATATTTTTTCTTGCTTTAGCAAAGCAGTCTTTTGACAGAAACAGAGAACCAGTGTCACTTTGAAGCCAATAGGACAAAGCATTTATGAGGATCCAGTATTCTCAGGAACAAATATAGGAAATACAAATGCACATAATTGAGTAATGCCTTCAAAAGTGGTGAATGAAAATGTTGTTCTTTTTATGTATTATTACACAACAAATGAAACCAAAATGTCCTATCATTTCTGTGTGTTTAGTGGGTAGCGAACTTGACAGCTGCCTTTTTGATGATGATTGAATTTAAAGAAGAATAGTAGGTTCAGTTTATTCTGCATTCACTATACTCGTAATGAATTTGACATAAACTTGACAACTGCCTTTTTGATGATGTTTGAATTTAAAGAAGAATAATACATTCAGTTTATTCTGCATTCACTAGAACGAATTTGACATGAAACAGTATTGAAATTTCCAGTTGTATGCCAAAAGTGTTTTCATCTTACCCCCCCCCCCAATGCTATATTTCTTAATATGTATCCAGAAAACAGACTTTTTATCCTGACAGATAATTGATTCATGGTATAGGGTCTAATTTTTCATTTACTAAGAACTGTACTAAAATGATCATTATAACAGAATAGCAAGAGGGAAACTTATAGCAGCATTATGTAGGGTAAAGGGAAGGAACTGTGTCAAATAAGGAAACAATTAACAGTGCAAAGGCCCAAATAACCCAGAAATGACTCTTTACAGCTGTTGTATCTGTATTTGTGTTTCTACTGTAATAATGTTTTTTACCTTTGTACATTTTTAGCTCTTCATTCCTGTGGTATGAAGCTGAAAGAATTACAGTGAAAACCTAACATAAAAAGTACAAGCTGTAATGGGTATTTCAGTTTGGCAAACATTTTCTTATGCACCATAAATTTAATTATGTTGAACGTAGTAATGTTCGTCAGTTCTGGAGATATCCATGGGACAGACAACTATGCTACTTCTGTGCAAACAAAACCAAATGGAACTGGAAGTAATCAACTGATTTACCTTGAACAGGAAAGGTGTTCACCAGCTCAGCTGAAAAAATAATGCCCACATCATAAATGGTAACAGTTACATTCATGCCTTTGAAGGAGCATATAAACACACCAAAATTTGCTTACATCTCTATGTAAGTAGGTACTTGCAAACATTCACCACCTTTTATTTATGCGTACCAACCTCTTGTTACTACTTGCTTTGCACGTATCAGTTCTATGCTTGCATGAATAGTAGCAAATTTTTGGTAGTGTCATGCACAAACTGGGTCATAACAGTGACAAAATGGAAATAAGTACATTCAATTACATGCTTTGTCACAGAGGAGTCACCATTTTTGTAAATGATTGGTACCATACAAAAGTCATTTCCCACTATGTGTTCATGCTATTCAAAATAAGAATCTCCATTGTTACTGAAATCCCATGACATTTTTTCTTGTGTATATGAATTTCAGATTTGATGATGTGATTCATGTGTAGTTCACATATTTTAGAATAACTGTTAATTCTGTTCCAAACCACATTTTTCAGCTGCGTTGAGATTACTGCACATATTCACTGTTTGATTTCTATTCTTCGGTCCGAAAGTGCCTATGAGTATTATTTCTAGTCTAAATTTTTCATTCTGTTATGAATTCTCATTATAACATACTTTGACTGTGCAAGTATTCTGTCAGCCAGCAAAAGGTGGGATTTTTTATAGTTTTTTGATTAGTAATGCTAATAGATTGGAAACTGATTTAGTTTTTATTCTCAAACCCTATAATACAGAAGAATGGAAAGACAGGTTATGGTATATTAATGTGAGTGTTATTTTAATTTGTTCATTTTGTACTTGTAATTGTACTCTCATTTTGTTTTACATTAGAGGAAATATAAAAGTGGCTTCACTAATGTTATGCAAACAATTCAGAAGGTGAAGTTTCACGTGTAGTGTCCACTGTAGTCCACAACAAGACTTTCTAGTTCAGTGGTGCATAAAAATAATTATCTTTCCATTGCTCTCTACATTGCTGTTCATAAAGTTACGAGTATTTTCCTTTTGAGAATATCTTTGCATTTTTTTAAACTGTAAATGCATTTATCGGGGGGGCACGCGGTAGCGTAGTTGGTTGAGGCACTGTGCTACAAGCTGGAAGGTCGCAGGTTCAAGTCCCGATGAGGTCATTGAATTTTTTAATCCCTCCAGCTGCACTATGACCCTGGGGTCGACTGAGCCTCTAACAGAAATGAGTACCAGGAATTAATTAAATAATTTTCCTGAGGAGTAAAGTGCTGCCGGCGCGTAAGGCTGACAACCTTACCGCCATCTTTGAGTTGATTGTCTAGATAATGTGGGACCCTCAACGTTTCACAACCCTATGGGCCTTCATGGCCTGGTATAGGGATAGCTTTACTTTTTTTTTATTATTATTATTTTAACACACTGTGGACCGGGGTGGGCCATATGGCCCTCTACGTTTCCAAGCGTTGCGGACCAGTTGGGCCATATGGCCCTCTACGGTCACGTTATGTTGCAAAACGCTATATATCACTGTGTGGCTTCGTTGAATCGTAACTACTGCGTAGATGACCTCGGGAATGATTGCTGCCTTATCTAGTAACTCGACCAGAGTCATTTCCTGTCACAACCTAAACAAAATTGGCTTTGTTCTAATCCAAGCTTGCACGTATGAACCACGCAGCTACCAGTTCAACATGGCTCAGAGACAAAAGCAGTTGCGATCTCTCGGAGGACAGGAAATATTAGATATGTTCTCCGATGAGCTATCAGATTTGCCAACTGCTTCGTCTCCTGATAGCGAGGCCATTATCAGTGACAGTGACGGTGACGGGGGCCACAGGGCTGCCCAAAATGTGTCAAGTGAAAGTGAGAGCTCCGTTGAAAGTGCGAGTGTTGGGACAGCTACATGGGATAAAGTGGACAAAACCCCCACTTTAGGAAAGTACGTATTTGTGGTACAATTAGGGTGAACAGAGGCCTCCCTCCAGATCTGAAAGAGGAATGTAAACGCCTGAAACGTGGCGACACCGCATTCAGGAGGAAGGGGGACATTCTTCTTCAGTCCTGGAGGGATACTCGCGTTGTGAATATGGTTTCCACTATTCACAATTCGAGCATGGTCAATGTTCAAAGACGACACGGGCAAGTAAAGAAGCCTCTTTGTATTTTCAAGTATAATATGAAAGGAGTTGATAGGGCCAACCAGTTCTTGGGCTATTATTCCCTTCCTAGGAAAACAGTAAAATGGACGAAGAAAGTTGAACTGTGGCTTATAAACTGTGCAATTTTCAATTCATTTACGGTTTTCAAAAAGGTGAACAGAAATTCTACTTTGAAATACAAAGCATTTCTGTTGAAACTGGCAAAAGCTTGGGCTACTGACGCCACGGTGGCGGCAGTACCTGTGTCAGACACAGACGTAGTGCAGCCGGGGCCATCTGTTCGCACCCGCCGAAGGCCTCAAGTAGATCCCCCTGGCCGACTCTCGGGTGATATGCGGAAACATATTCTCGTGAAAATTGTGAAGAGTGAATATTGCAAGAAGAAACACCCTTCTAGGCAGTGCCATGTGTGCACAGAGCACAAGAAGAAGAGTAGAACTGCCTACATGTGCAACTTCTGCGTAATGCCTCTTCACAAAGGGGAATGTTTCCAGAGATATCACATGTGCAAGCACTTCTAGGAGCTCTGGTAAGTGTTCTCCAAAAATTTCAGTTCATAAAATTAATTAGGAGATTTTATATTAATTTTTAAAGTGAACAGTGCACAAGTTAGGGTAGTAGGTTTAAAAACGCCGGTCCCCAGTGTGATTTAAATGTTTAAACCACCGGTCCGCAATGTGTTAAATGCATTTGTCATACCTTTGCCAAATTCCCAGTATCTTTCACTTAATTGTCTCATTAGAAAGGTTAAATCTATTATGGAGTGTTGCGTCTATAATTTTTTTGGTATTCTTTTAAAATATTTTTCCTGAATTTTGTCAACAGTGACAGAAATATTATACTTCTCTAATTATGGCAGAATTTCTCCTTTCATAGACACTGTTACCATCACTTCATTCTTCTAATCATTTGGTATCACTTCCTCATAACTGTATACATTCATTGCATTGCTGTTGGCCTAGCTACTTTTAGGATGTCTACTGTCCCTTCATCACCTGGTGCTTTCTAATTCATTTTTCGAATGGTAATTTAGATGTCCAAATACATATGTATTCAATATCCAGTCCGGTTCCCGGACAATGGATCTGTGAAATTATGTATCTATGTATGTATATGACTATATTATCTGTGTTCTTTGTTCAATTGTACCTGCTTTTTCTCATACTTGATTTATGATGAGTATAAATCCTTTTCATTTGTGTCTTGTTCAGTATCAGAGGGGTGGGAAACCAAGATCTATACAAGATTGACACTAATTTTTCATGCAGAGTCTTGACTTCGAATGTCACCATGGTATGGAATATATTTAAGAATATATCTTTTACAATACCAGTTTAATTATGAACAGTCTAATATGTATTGTTTATGACACCACTAACAACTTAAATTAAAATTATTTGTCTGTCAAAATGGAAAAGAGGAAGCTGTTAACAGTTGAGCAACAAACACAAACTGCTGGTCCTGTTGGCCAGGACATCCTTTTTGATTACTTTTACAGTGAAGTTTATTCTTTTGTTTAGCTCTGCAGCATAAACTGTAGTTTTATATGTACAAATGTATTTATACTTTCATATTGATAAATATCTGTAGTTTTACTCGATGAACTCTTACATGTAGATATATAGAGAGATTATTTGGATTGCATTTAAGATCTTTGAGACTGTACTGATAATATTTTGTATTTTTAATGAATATACAAAGTGTTGGTGACAATATATTTTATTGTTTTTTATGGAATTTTTTCTTCCTTCCTTTCAGATGCCAAATATTTGCTGACATGCATGTTCAGTCATCATGCTATAACAGTGCACCCTAAACATGCCCTTAAATATATTAAAATAGTCAAACGAGCATAAACCTAATATCTTTTTCTTGTGTAAACTAATGAATTAAATTTAAAATTACCTCATTAATACAATGTTGAAGGCATAAAAAGAACAGAGACATGTCATAATACACAAATACAAGGTGTGGCAATAAAGAAACCGGATTCATGCTCTAACCCTTTATTAAAAAAAAATCAGACAGTCGAAATGTTATCCCCTTCAATGTAGTCCCCTCCCCGATCCCTACACCGCTCCATGCGAATTTTCCACTGTTGGAAGCAGTGCTGCAGGTCATCTTGTGTTATGCTCTTCAAGAGTTGCGTCGCTTTTGCTTTCACTGCATCCACGGACTCGAACCTGGTCCCTTTCAGCGCAGACTTGATTTTTGGGAAGAGAAAAAAGTCGCACGGTGCTAGGTCCGGAGAATACGGTGGATGTTCCATCACTGGAATGTTGTTTTTTGCCAAATACCTCTTCACAGATAGCGCGTTGTGTGCTGGCG